AAAGCATATTTCAATAAACAGTGGTACACAGATTTATTATGCAGCAACTTCAGTCTGCAAGGATTCAGGTTTCCCACAATTGAAAAGTGGTGACTGATAATAAGTTAATGTATTAGTTTTTCAATTTGATGCAGGAACCTTCCCCCCCGAAAAAAAAACAAAACAAACATTTTAGGAAGATTTTGTTTTTGCTAGTACAGTAGTTCTGAATATCACTGATTTTGGTTGCTTGAATATATTCTATCCTATTTTTTTTTCTTTAGGAACTTAACTTTAAGTCCTGTCTCAACAGCAAAAGGTCATGCTAGACAGGTAGTGGCAAATATCCCCTTAGAATATAAACTGTTAAAAGATTTTATCTTAGAGTGAACACTTGTCCATATATTACATTTTTACTTTAGATTTTCCTTCTGGGAATGCAGGGTAGTTAGTGCACATGGGGAGCTCCCCTTGTTTTTTATCCTTACAAGAACCACACTTCAATGTAGTGAATGAGCTAATCATCCAGTTTGCTGATGGCCAAAGCAGATTAAGGTGTCCTTGAGCAGGCTACTTTAGAGCTCTTCGTACATCTTCTGAAACAGAGTAGTAGTCTTAGCCCACAGGTCGGCAACCTGCGGCTCCGGAGCAGCATGCGGCTCTTTGAGCCTTCCCCTGCGGCTCCCAGCCTCCTCTGCCATTTGCAGAGAGAGACAGAGAGAGGCACTTGCACTTCCCTGCTTCTCTCTCTGTCTGTCTCTGTGTTTGTGTTTGTGTTTGTGTTTGTGTGTGTGTGTAAAAGAGAGTAGACTCACGGTGTTCTCCAACGAGCTGAAAAGCTTTTTGGGCGGGGCTCCTCCCTTTGCTGCGTCTCTGCAGGAAGCAGGAAGGGCAGGAGAGAGCTAGCTAGCCCAGCTATGCTTACTCAGGAATTCTGGGAGTTGAAGTCCATGAGTCATAAAAGAGCCGAGATTGCCTACCCCTGAGCTTGTTGGAGAACAGCTTGAAGCTAGCTTGCCAGGTGAGCAGAAGATCGGAGAGAGGGAGAGGAGGGGGAAAGAGAGAGAGAGAGAGAGAGAGAGAGAGAGGGAGAGACACAGAGAGAGACCCTTTTGATATCTAAAATGAAGATAACACTGCATATATCCTTTTTTACCTTTATGAGTAAAAACATGCTCCTAGATTGGAGCGAAATGAGAACAGACTGGTTTATATTTGGTAGACCGGGTGCCTACCCCTGTCTTAGCCCTAAGACATCAGATTTTTTAAACAGACCTTTCCTTACTCTTCTGATTATATTTGAGATCTTCTAATAAACTCCCTTCTAAAAAGGAAAATGTTGAAATGTTGTTTTGTGATTTATGGCTTCTGAATCTGGAATTACTTTATCAAACCCTTCAACACTGTTAGAAGGATAAAAATGCATCAGAAATTGTTTCAGTATTTTTGCTTGTTTATTTGTTTGCGAGTTAATTCTCCTAGGAAGACAAATTTTAGGAGGATTGGGATGCCATTAGTGCTGTATTATTTGTGTGATCTTATCCAAATTCAAACCAAAGTCCAATCTCTTTCATCCTAATTCTTATATGTGTCTGTCTTCAGTGGCAATTAATTATTTTATTACTCTCATCTCTCATCTCATTGCTCTCATTTACTAACTGAAATAGTTTTAGCTTAATTTCATATAAATTTAATCTTAAATCTGTGTGTGTGTGTGAGAGAGGGGGGGGGGAACCATATTGCGCTTCCTTGCTTGTCTATGGGTTTTCTTCTTTTGTGGGAAGAAAACCATGTATATATACATGTTTAGGGCATGAAGAAGTTCAAGACCCTGGCTGATCTGACATTTAAAAATCTCCTGTATCATGGCTGAACTATCCTTTGATTATTCTTCTTCCAGCTACATTACAGTTTGCCATACCTTTCAATACAAAAGGAAATCTAACAGCAATAAAAAAATAAATAAAATCCTATGTTTTCATTAGTCTAGCACTGATGATGTTACCTAGTTAGGGTAATGAAATGTCTGCAAGAAAACAAGCAAGCTCAGAGAGCACCAAGGACTCCTCATTTCAACCCTGAGCTACAAATATTCTCCTTCATTCTCCTTCTTGTCTTTTTATCTTGATAAGCATTAATTGCCCTTTGTTGTGGGCTTCTCAGGACCTGAGAAAATGGATAATAGTTTGGGAAACATTACTAGCCTGTAACACCTAAACATTATTCCATTATCAGTAAAATTGTTAGCCATCTCCCTATCTGTTAAATGTGGTTAGCAAGAGAAATTAGCAGTCATAGTCCTGGCCAATTCTGCAATAAATTGCATGCTAAAACAAAAATGTCCAGTTTTTGAGTTTTTTGTAATTTGTTTTTTTCTTTCAATAAATTCAATTAAAGAAGACTTTTTGAAAATCTTTGTTGTTGTTCTTGCCATGCTGCTCCACATATCCTAACTGTGTTAGCCTCATCAGGTAGACCAGACCAGAAAACTTTACTCCATAGGAAGGCTAAAACTACTTTTATTGAAATTGGCTCAAATAACAGGATCTTGTAAGGCTGATTGTGTTGTGCTTGCTTCCTTTCTTATGTGAATTAAGGAGTGCCTGTCTGGAACTCTTCTGCTTGTTGTGAACTTAAGATACTTTTCCCCTTCTTGCTTTGCTGATGGATGTTTTCTGTCTCTGTCAAGATCATCTTGTTTTATGGAGTGAGAGATAGGACAATTACACCCATTTCTTAATTATTTTTCTTGTGGTTAAAAGGTAAAATATGTATGGGGTCATAGGGATGATCTTGGAGAAACTATGCAGAGATGATTTCAGCAACATCTGTACAAACATGCTTTAAGCCTGTAAAATAAAGAAAACATTAGGGAGAAAATCACCTCCTTGGATGTAAGAGGGAAAAAAACAGTCTTTCAAATTACTGTTACTACAGCCTATAACAATAAAGTATATTTCCAGTCAAGCCTCCAGTCAGTTTCATTGTCTGGCCTACAACAAAGATCTCACAAAATGAAACAAATAAAAAATGCATTCTCTTAGCCATGTAGCTTAAGGCATGTGGCTAGAGGATTCCAGCCTTTTTCTTAGATACACAGCAATCTCATAAGAGAGAAACAAAATCCAATTTACTGCAAGAAAAGAAGAGAAAAAATACAAGCCATGTTTTAAACTTTGAATGCATATATTTAGCATGGGGAAAAGGAGAATAAAAAATATCTAAACAAGATGAAATGGTGTAGCCTTGATCAGGATCAGCCATCAGAAAACCCATCAGAAAATGTAAGATAAAGATCACAAGATGGTGCCTGTCTGCTCTAGGTCAAAAGAGCTTGGTTTTAAAGAGATGGGAATGGGATTTAAATTACAAGAGAGTTGTACAGCTATAGATAGTCCTCATTTATTGACTGCCACTGTGTCACTGATCAACATGGCCATAAAGTGAAAATCATGTGACTGTGCCCAACTTGATGTCACTTTGGCAGTTCCAGCAGTTTCAGTTGTTAAGCAAATCACTCTGAGTGATTAAGTGTGAAGTCATGTGACTTGTGACTTCCTGTGGCCTACCCTATTGACTTTGCTTGTCAGAAGGTCGCAAAATGTGATCACATGATCTTGAGACACAACAATGGTCATAAATATAAACCAGTTATAAAGCATCTGAATTTTGATCACATGACCCTGGGGATGCTGAAAAGGTTGTAACTGTGAAAAACGGTCATAAGTTACTTTTTTCAGTGCCGTTGTAACTTTGAACGGTCACTAAACGAACTGTAAGTCAAGGACTACCTGTATATCTCTTCAGAAAACAACCGCTTTTTCCAAACAATGGTTCTTTTGCGTAATTTACTTAGACTTTCGCTAGCAGTTTAGGGAGACTCCTCTTCATTCAGAGGCTGCTGAACAGATGGTCAGCCTCCATTCCTGACCAGGCTTGCTCCTGGCTTGTCCTCTAGTTCTGTACATTAGTCTCACTTATGGAGATGGATTGACTGTCTGGCACGAGGCTTGTCGCTGTGAAGATCAGAATTTGGAGCCTGCTCAGTTACAACAGAAATCTTTTAGTTACTGAGATGAGGAAAATGGATGCTTTTGCTCCCTCCATTTTAATTAAATGATTTGTGCTTCTGTTTCCCATTTCTGACAATACCCCTGGGGAAGTACAGCAGAACTAAATGCTGAGGAATAAGATGTATATGGACTGAATGTACAAGTGTAGGGGAAATCAGTTGATTTCTGTACAGTTAAAACAAATTAAATGGATGGTTATTCAATCATTATCATTTGGTCATGGTAACAAAATAACATAAGAGGCATGTATTCTAGTGCAAAATGCTTCAAACGTTCATCGGAGAAGAAAGGATATGAAAAAAAGTTGTCCTTTCTTCAGCAAATGCAACAATTTGCTAGAAAAGTTCATAAATGCTATTTAATGCAGAATTATCTGCCCACATATTAGAAAAAGAAAGAAAAAAATATCTTTTTAATTTGCTGAAAGGCGGTATTTGTATGATTTTTTTTGGATTGTATGGATTAATAAGATCTCTGTAAAACCATTATTTTATAGAAGTTTCAAATATGCAGACTGCAACTCTGAATGCTTATTTGGGTGTAAGAGAAATTTAATCCCATTTAAGTACTCTGACTTACAGCCACAGCCTCATCTTAAATCTTATTGAGAGGTGATTCAGAGAGTCCTAACTTGTATAGCTAGTTCTCAACTTTACAATCACAATTGAGCCCAAAATTGGTGTGTGTGTGTGTGTGTGTGTGTGTGTATGTATGTATGTGTGTGTGTGTGTATGTATGTGTTTGTGTGTGCGTGTGTGTGTATAAATAAAAGGAATAGAAATGTGAACCAATTGACAGTATGAGCACATTTGGGAAAATACTGTGCTTATGATATAAAGTCTCAGACTACATTATTCTTTCAAACACTTACCCTAAAAATAAATTAAACTTATGTTAATGCCTATAGGCTGTGTGAGAGATAACCCAATGACTTTTTTTCTTTTCCAGATATTGTTTTGTTTTTGCTTTGGGATACCTCACTGTGTGCCAAATTTCTAGAGTTTATATATTTGACTATGGACAATATTCTGCTGATTTTTCGGGGTAAGAATAACTATTTTCAGTACTTGCAATTATTTCTGTAGCTAGATGTAGTTAAGTCTGAATTAAGTATAATTTACTTAAGATTTCATAGATGTCTGAAAATTTCAGAATTTTTAAAAATCAGCATGTGTGCATTTTACAGCTCTTTACCTGTTTGTTTATTGCAACAGAAGATTATGAGGTAATATCACTCAGGGATGTGACTTAATATGGAAAAAGCTTCTTCATAACTATATAGCTCAGAATAGAACTATATCTGATATAGGATGTTTGTGAAAATGATTTCTCTGTGGGCTAAAAGTCCATCCAGGGGATCCAGCTGATACTGATGCTGGATGGACAGGAGGAATTCAGATCAAACCACTTGTGCCGTGTCCTGATTAAAATGTACAGGCAGTTCTTGACTTATGACCACAGTTTAAAATAGAATTTTGGTCGTAAGTCTTTGTGGTCTTAAATTGAGTCACCATATGACCAAACTCAATTTTACAATTGTTTTTATGATGGTCATTAAGCATGTCATCGTAATCATTAAATGAACTGCATTGTAAGTCTGAATCCAGCTTATCCAATGGGTGGTTTTTTTGCCATTTTTGCTAGAAAATGGCAAAACATTCACAAAACACTATCTCACATGAGTGCAGAATGCTGCAACTGGTCATAAATGTGAGTTGCTTGCCAAGCACCCAAAATGCAGTGATGTAACTGTGGGGATAGTGTAGCAGTCATAACTCTGAGGATGAGTGTAAGTAACTTTTTTCAAGTCAGTCATAACTTCAAATATTTGTTAAGCGATCGATCATAAGTCCAGGACTACCTGTACCTTATTGCATCTGGCAAAACATAGAGACTTTAAAAACCTTTATATGCCTCTGGAAACGTCCAGTGCAATCATGAATATTGAGAGACTTCCTTTCTGCAGTTCCTTTTCCCTTCCTTCCCCTTCCCTTCTTTTAAAAACTTGGTTTTGTATTTGAGTTCACAAATTAATCTTTTTTGTACCGGGGAAGTGTATGAAAGCTAATAAATCTTGCCTGTTTTCCTACAATTCTCTTGGAACAAGACACCAAAGTTACTTTTAGAAGAAATTGTTTACATTGCAAGAATATGTCTATATTTCTCTACGTTTGAGTTATGTAATTGGGAAACAGCATTCTCTAGGGTACTGCTGAATTTCTATCACATTGCTTTCTCTGGTATTACCATTACGCATGTGTCTAAAAAAAAATCTTCTGTGTGATGCAGAAATGGCAAAGTACTCCCTGCGGACTGATGTTTCAATTTTTCAAGGTTACTTATGTTCTAATATTTATGGAGCAAACGTATGTGCAATTGAAATCAAGCTAAATTTTACTGGCCCATTATTTACAGGGGACAGTGCTATTTTTTCTATTATCTCTCTGTCTGCTTAATGTACTGTATTATTCCTGTTTGACATTTTGTTATTTTGGGAATGCTTTTTTTTTTTAATGATTAGAAAATTTGGCAAAATCTTTAAATTTTAAATCTAAAACATGTGTCAAAGGGAGGCAGCAATGGTGGGGAATGGTGCATGTAGCTGAATGCTTACATAATGAGAACAAGCATGTCTGAAAGTCAAGCTTCTCTTTCTCCTCTCCTTTTTGTGCCTGAAGGAAAGGGCTTAAAATGTCCTGTTTTTAATTTGTGATGAATTTTGTCCTCAAATCCGGATATCCCCATTTGAAACGTCATTTGACATTTGGTTGACAATAAAATAATGCTTTGTGACAAAAAAAGGATGGAAGCTTCTTCCTTTATGGAGGGAGGAATAATTGAGCTGAAATGTGTTCATTTTCTGAACAGGCTCCGTGACTTCTCAAGCAAATCAGCTATAAACCTTTTTGAAAATATATCATTTCCCGTCAGTGTAAATGCCATTAATTTCTTTGTTTCTTTCTGCTTGAGACTACCAATGAAAAATTCTTGCAGTGGCTCTCTCTCTCTATATATATATATATTAAAAAGACTCATAACTATTCTGTCTCATTCAGCATCATCTTGCCATAGAGAAGTACTATTTTATAAAAGAAATCTAAATTTCCTGTCCTCTCTCCATCTTTGTTACAGCCCAATGATGATAATTACACAGAAAATTACAAGTTTGGCGTACGAAATTCATGATGGTAAGATTTGGGGGTGAGAAAAGACTTCCTTCTTTAAATTTTTAACACAAATTGGGGAGGAGAATTTTTTTAAAAATTTGCAGGTAGAACAATGTGTTCTGGCCAGTTTTAACCTTGCAATGTTGGAAAACCCCTTATTTTCTATCCATATACCAGATATTCAATCAGTTGAAGAGATGATATATATTTTCTTACAAAGCCAGTGGAATTTTATTGACAAAACTGATATTTGTAATGATTTCATTAAACAAATATTTCCATTTAGTTTTTTGCTTTCCTGTATAATTATTAATTTTCAAAATGGGCAAATTGTATTGCTGTATTAATTTATTAAATCAATGTCGACTTTTTTCGATTTAACACTCAAGGGAAATTTACATCTCAAATGTCTATAGAATTTAAAAGCATTGTAGATGAAAATAAAAGTAAGCCACAAGTTGGAAAAAATAAGTAGTAAAAATTGTGTAGAGTTATGAAAATACTATGAGTCCAAATAAATAACTATACTTAGCTACGGTATTTAGTTTTGAGAACTGAAGATCTAAAAAGAGATTGCTTTTAGACCAGGAAAGTTACTTGGCTTTATTTGTAAATAATCAGAGATAATGGCTGCATTAGAATATAACATTAATCATGGTTCGCATTATGTCGGCAGGCCATTGTAGGCCTCATGATTGCATTCTCCCTCCCTCCCTGAAATATTAGAGGCAGCAATGGCAGTCTTCCAATTAACATTAAATAAGTGGATTTCTCATAGTGGATGTATCCCCTTTCTTAAAGCTTATGCAGAAACCTTAAGAATTTGGGGGTCTTTAACAGGAAGTTGCTGTGCTCTCGTGAAATCTGAATCATTTCATCCAAATAATTTTTCAGATTTCCACAGCCGTATAATAGTGTAGTCTCTTGCTATTTAAAGCTATTAATTACTGCAAAAGTCTGGACAATCATTAGATAGTAGCAGAGAGTTAGGATATTCATGACTCTTTGCTCCCCATTAGTAGTCATCTGCGGTGTCGGAAGCACCAAAGCGTTTCTGTGGTGAAAGGATTAACCAATGACATAACCATTGCCTGGGGGTCGCCCAACGGGAGGGTCCTTTCATGTCCCCATTAATGAGCCCGCCGAAGTGGTACCTATTTATCTACTTGTGTTTGCATGCTTTCAAACTGCTAGGTGAGCAGCAGCTGGAGTGAATGACAGGAGCTCACTCTGACTTTGAACGTGGGCTTACAAATTGTCAAACCAGCGTCCTAACCATAGGAACCATTGTGCTCCAGTCATCTGATTATACGGAGCCATATATGTTGGCTCTACTCACTGTTTTAGATCAATCTCAGTTTACTTTTTCAATTGTATGCAGTTGTTTCACCTTCTGTTCAACTGTGCCTGATTCTTGGAAACTGCCTGGACAGGTCCTGCAATTTTTTTTGCAAGTTTTTTCAAAATGATTTGCCATTGACTCCTTCTTAGGGCTGAGAGAAAGTGACTGGCCCAAGATCACCCAGCTGGTTTTGCTTAAGGTGGCAGTAGGACTTAGGCTCCTGTTTTTAGCTTGATGCCTTAACCTCTACACCAAACTGGCTGACACGTTTTATGTTATAACATGTTTAAAATTACATATGATTAGTTGAGGTGAGACAGCAACGTAAACTAGGAGTTTGAGATTGTTTTGTTTCAGTTAATTATTTATCATAGTCTTTCTGATCCCAAGGTACAAGAAATGGCACTTTTGCATGATATTTTGACTTAGCCTAGCTTGTCATTTTAAAACAGATTATGGAAGCAATCATGGTTCAGACTGAGTCTTGGCTATGATCTGTAGCAGTGGCATGTTCTGATTAGCTTGCTTTGAATTGAACATGAAAGCAAGGAATAATGGCAATCTTTTAAATAGTATTTAGACCTTGAAGAAAATAGCCTGATGATTCAGTGGCTTCTGCACACGGACAGAATGGCTTTTTTCCTCTATAGTGAATCAAAATTCTGAACCCTCAAAATCATCTGGATGTAATAATCTGATTAGGAAATCTAGACTCATAACTCTGTTCCAATCTATGCCCATCCTAGCTTAAGCACAAAGAGGATTAGAATGCTAGCAAAGTGTCCTCTCAAATCTCTGCTAGCATTGGTTGCTCTATTGTTTGGCCTCAGATTGCAATTACTTCTCTTTATGACTACCCTGCAAAAAAAAAAAAAAAGAGAGAGAGAGAACTATCCTAACTCAAATGTGACTGTGGTTCTTCCAGCAGCCCAACGGGTTACCCTTTTCTTTCTTGCTCATGCACAGGAATGTTCCGAAAAGAGGAAGAACTGTCGCCCTCACAGCGATGCTTAGCCGTGAGGTAAGCACTTCTCTATTTTAGTGTCAACGGCTGCCTCAGATTCCATCTGTCAGTCAGCCTTTCAGCAGCTTTGCAGGAGTTAGAGGCATTTAGATTCTGTGCATGCTTTTCATCCGTTTACAATAATACGAAGAAAGCTACGGTAAGTGCTTTGGGCCAAACTAAACAAAGCAGGATAAAAGCAAACTAAAATATATTATTAGTGTGCTACAAGTAGTCATCAACTGAGACCAGATTTTTTGTTGTTAAGCAAGGCAGTTGTTAAGCAGATCACTGCCGTTTTTAAGTGAATCACATGGTTGTTAAGCAAATCTGGTTTCCCTTGACTCTGCTTGTTGTGAGCAGGCTGGGAAGGTTGCAGATGTTGATAACATAACCCTGGGGCACTGCAAGCATCGTAAATACATGCCATTTTGATTATGTGAGTGTGGGGATGCTTCGACAGTTAAAAGAGAAAGGACCGGTTGTAAATCACTTTTCTGGTGCCATTGTAACTTCAAATGGTCACTAAACCAATGGTTGTAAGTCAAGGACTACCTGTATTAACACTGAAGAAAGATCAATTTGCATTTTGTTGTTGGAGTCTGGCTTCCATGTCCCTGTTTTATTGAAGTAAATTTCTGCTACTGAATTTGTCTGACCTACTTGAATTTTCTCCATTAACGAGAAGTCAGATTGCCTAATGAATCACATCCCATACTGTGTCTATTATATCCAAGGAGGAAAAACTGTCCCTTCAAATTGGTGAACCATAACTGCCATTGGCTAAAACTGATTGAGATTGTTTAATTCAGCGATCTTTATGAGAGCCACATAAAGATTGATCTTTTGAGTGGTACAGGACCCTTAATAAACAACTAATCAACTAGTTTTGAATCCCAACTTTTTTATCTACAAAGTTTACTGTCAGCTAAAACAGTTCATCTATAACCAATCATTATACGGTATTAATATTATTCTGTAGTAGAGTTCTTGTTACTAAAAGAGACATAAAATCTCACCAGTTGCTTGTCTTTGAATTACAGACACATGCCAAGTCTACTGGAATATTTAAGTTACAACTGTAATTTCATGGGTATCCTGGCAGGCCCATTATGCTCTTATAAAGACTATATTACTTTCATTGAAGGCAGATCATATCAACTGACACAGTCGGAAGCAAATGGGAAAGAAGAAATAAAATATGAACAAACGGACCCCTCCCCAAATGTAAGATCTATTGTTATTGCAACGGTGCTGTTGTGTTTGCATGGGAAGTCTACTTTGCATTCTGCATTTTTCACAGGCAAAACTCTGAAACTGTATCTGCATCATTTTTATAAATGGCATAGTTCTCTCTTCAATAATCAAGCATCTAAAGATCAATATTCTCCATAGATACTTACTTTCGGATCTTGTGGGCTGTAGAAAACTTGGGACTTGTGTTTATATCATCCCACATATTGCCATCAAAATTATCAGTAAAAATCAATGCAAGTTGTTTTTATTTCTCTAATTTTTGCTGGTATTTGATTTCCATACAATAAGCATTGCCTTAATTTTGTAGACTTTTCTTTCCTGGTAGTCTTTCTAAGACATCTTCGATATCCCATTGAACTGTAACTAAATTTTAAAACAAGAACCAAAAGATATTACAGAATTTAATTTAAAAATCACTCTCTGATATAAAATATAAACAATAGATGTCTTACTTATTTGTTCTTCATTTAATTATTAATTAACAGGGCTGGGCAACATTTCAGATTGAAAGGCAGAAATGTGATTTGAAGTGCACATGGATGCTTATGCATTATCTGCCAGGAACCTCTTAAAGATCTTGGTTTTTTTTTTTCTGGGCTCAGATGGCTGTCTTTTTCAGCTTCCCAGAGGGGGGGGGAATATCTTGAATTGTTCCCATCATCTGAAACATCCTAGATGCTCCAAATCACACTTTTCTCTTGAAATCTGAAACCTTAATTAGCCACATGTTTAATTAAATATATACAGGTAGACCTCAATTTATGACCAGTCACTCAGCAATCATTTGAAGTTATGATGGACCCTCCAAAAAGGTACTAGCAACCTGGATTCAATATTCGGAAGGAAGGAACCCCTCTGTGGTCATATGATCATATTTTGGGCACTTGGGAACTGACCTGCATTTAAGGCTGTTTAGAACATCCCGTGATCATGTGACCACACTTTATGACATTTCTTGCTGGAAACTACTGTTTACTTCCTGTTTCTGGAAGTAAAAAAATGCCCACTGCAGACAGTGGGTTCATTTAACAAATATGGATTTGCAGAATGTCCACTGTGATTCACTTAACGACCATCACAGAGAAATGTGGCAAAATTGGGTCAATCTCATGATGACTCAGTTGACCGCCAGCACAATTTATAAACTCTATAATTCCAGGCTCAGTTACGGTTATAAATCAAGGACTATCTGCATTTAAATCAAAAGCTTGTCTCCTCTGATTTTCTCCTCTCCAGTTAGCATTTATAAATTTGACTTGGTTTTCTTAGTTGAAGTCTTTGCTCTACCTCTCCTTTGCTTTTATGGAGACCTTCCGTTGGGATTTCTCTCAGAAAAATAGGCTTTCACCTCCCTTAAAAGAGCCATGCTGAAGATTCTGGATTTAGCCTTGGATGCTTCCTTACAAGATGAGAGCATGACTACTTCTTTAGATATAGTTTTTTAAAAAAAAATAAAAAAAATAAAACAAGCATCCTTTCATCGTCTTCTTTCTGCCCCCCCCCCCATTCTAGGTTCTCATGGTGTTGAGCAACTTCTTCTCAAGTCCACCTGTATGCTTTCCAGCTTTCCCCCTTCTTCTTTCTTCTCTCAGCTTCTTTTCTACCCGCTTTGGGCCATTTCTGAAGGCTAGTCTGGCTTATTTATTTTCTGTTAGTGGCATACTTTGGTTAGTAATATCAAGCAACATTAAGGGATTCCCCTTCCGTTATTTTTTAGTTAAGGATGAAGAGAAGTTGTTTTATAGTGATGTGCAAACACGGGTTTAGTAATCACTGATAAGTATAAATGCCAGTTGTATTAATTTGCAGAATCATAAACTGCTAAACATTCTGCAATTGTTGGTAAACACTTCCTCATACACTGTAAGGTTTGCAAAGATTACAGGCATTAGATGCGCATCTGCTTCATTGCTTTAAGCTGAAGTGTACAATCATTTTATAGAACAAATAGCTAATCATAATGCTGAATATCTATTACGTTAAACAAAAATGTATGTTCTCGAGTAAAAAACAATTAATTAAAAGCAGTTTCAGACAGCAGCATTTCATTTTAAGCAAGAATCTCATGCATGTAGATATGTAATAAATATTGTTTGTAATATCTTAAAACCTATAATCTTGCAATTCTGGGACCTGTGTCCAGGGCATTAAGTTTACTATGTGACAGGGTTTTTTTTTAAACTGTCTTGTGTTGCAAGCCCTTATAATGATAAATCCAACTCAGTCTCTGCTATTTTAAGAAAATGCTTTATTTTAACAATTACTAATAATTTTTTTTAAAAAAATACTTAATGAAATATTAATCAAAATTAATTGGTATTTTGAAGAAGATAACAGTTTATTTTAGCATAATGGGTGTAACTGATTACTCTGTGCACAAATCTTTCGGTACCTGACTTGAATGATAAAGGAAACTTATTTTTTCCCCAAAAAATTACAGTTTACATGTTCTAATGCTATCATATTTACTTGTAATTAAATAACTCTTAACTAAATGATCAGTGCATTTATTCCAAATAAATGATGCACAGAATTGCAATATTCTACAGTTGCAGAACTGAAGCACTATTTTATATTTTATTTTATTTTATTATTATTTTATTTTATTTTAATTAACTGGTACAACCACCCATTTCATAAGCACTTATGGAATAGGGTGGCTGATAGAATTTAAGATATGGATGCAAAATAATAATTGATAAAATAATAAAAGCCAAAATGTTTTGGATGCTGTTTTTCTGCATGTTATTTTAAGCTCCTTTGTTAAAGTTTAGATGGGATTTTCGTTTTGATTTCATAGGGTTCTATTTTTCTTTATACATTCAAATAATTTTTCTGATAAAACAATTTTTAATTGCTTCTTTTTTTGACTTACAATTTCTCCCTCATTTGGTTGATCCTGATTTGGGGCAATAAAAATATCTTTCCCTCTTCCCTTCATTCCTTGGGAAAGTTTGCATCTTTCCCAACACAGAGAGGATTTAAACAACAAGAATAATTTTCCAAGCTGATGTAACTAATGCATTCCATGGATGTTGAGTCACAAAGTGTCACTATACTCTGCTGTGAACCAGAGTATCCACATAGGATTGTTCACTACCTTTTTATGGCATTAAGATTCTGTTTTCACCTTTTCTACAGCCAATATCCAAACAAATTGGTTGGCTGCTTTCTTACTTATATTAAAGGTGGAGATGATGGTATGTTGGTTTTACTTATTGGCAAATACCAGTTTCAACTCACAGAAGCCAAAAACGTAGGAACTTTAGAATGTCATTCCCAGGTTCAACTTCAAATATAAAAATTGTTTTTTATTTCTAATATAAACAAATATTGATAAATGGGTGATGTTTACTTCCTCTCTATAAAGACTTACTACAAAATTCTGATGTATAAATAAGCGCATCTATCAGTGAAGATCTATAAATAACACTACTTCAAAATGTGATTTAATTACTCGGGACAGGTAAGTTTTTTTTCCATTGTACTGCTTATCTGCTTAACATATTTTGTTGTTTATGCCGCATTAGCTTTCTGACATTAAACAAAACCGTGTGTGCTCTTGACACTTCACATATTCCCCATTTGGTATTAAGAGAAACCTGGCTGTCTTTTGTAGCATATTATGTGCTTTGGGGAAATACTTTGAATGGTGCAGCTCTTGATTTTCCGCACTTTCTCTTTGCAACTTGCAGTTTTATATGGTTATATAAATGTTTCACTTCTGCCTTGTATTGCTGAAATGCTTGTTTAAAATAGGGTGGGGTATTTTTTTGCTGGATTCTCATACTGGTTTAAAAAACAAAGAATACAGTGAGACGTTTTTAGATTAAGTTTAAATTTCTTGCACTATTGGGATCAGCAAAGGTGAAGCTCTAGTTGAAAGAACGGTGTTCTGCCTAATCCAATAAGTTTCCTTTTTTTTTCTTGTTTGAATTTCATTTCTGTAACAAAAAATTAACAAATGCCCCTTTCCCTTTTGTTAGGTGCATGATACAAGTTTAAAATAACACTTATTTGCTAATTGCATGTTAACTGAACCTAGCCAACATTTTAAAGTGATTTATTTAATATCTCACTCCTATTATACCTTTTTACAAGCTATCATTTGTTGGTGCTCAAAGTGGTGTCAACTGTCTGAAATTATTGTCTATCTTCGTAAGTTTCTTCTTCTTACAGCTTTCAGCTATTCTTATATTCCTATGTTCCTATGGAACAAATCCCTTTTGCTTCTGGCTTCATAGAAATATTTTTGGCTCTTGAATCCTTGCAGTTTAATCATCAGTATTTAACAAATCCAAGCACAACAATCTTTATTACACTTGGAAGATTTTACTGAACTAATGGCATTTTCTGAGGAGGCAACCAAGCATTGAAATGGTTTAATTAAAACATTATTTAATTAATTCAGTCATTAAAAGCCTGAGTTAAAGTCCAGTGAGCTGAGGCTTAGTTAGCGTATTACTGCTGATTTCAGCGAGATGCAAAATTTTAGGTACCTGATGTAAACACATCACTTAATTAATTTCTAGAAGAAGAAATATTATAATGCAGATACCACATGGTACAATAGTCTTCCCCACCTTGGTGCCCTCCAGATCTATTGAACTTACAATCCCTATAATTCTAAACTAGGAAAATGAATTATGAGAATTTTCAAAATATTTGGAGAGTGCATTACATTGGGAACGGCTGGTTTTACGTACTATGAATAATGTTATTGCTTCATTTATTTAGCCTATGATAGGAGCCAACAACTTAAGTGGAAGTTCTTGAATTAGAACTCGGCAATACTTTAGTTCTTAGCATAGTCAAGAATTTACTTTCAAAATTAAATTAGACAAAAAAAACCCCTTCCGTATAAATAGTTTATTACTAAATATTGACATGCCTAGTTGAAATAATGGTATATTAAAAATAAGGTATTTGATACGTTCGTTATTGTGTTCATCACTATTATTCATCTTACTTACAAAGAAAATGGAATAACTACTTGCCCAGGACCTTATGGATGAGTTCAGCAGGGACTAAAAACAGATTTCTTGTATCCTGTTGCCAAATATACTGTATATACCAGGAGTAGGCAACCTCGGCTCTTTTATGACTCATGGACTTCAACTCCCAGAATTCCTCAGGAATTCTGGGAGTTGAAGTCCATGAGTCATAAAAGAGCCGAGGTTGCCTACCCCTGGTATATACCCTTCATTTTTGTAATCAAAAGATAACAGTACTTGACACAGAAAAGAAAAAGGGAGTAGATCTCTTACATTCAATTAAAAATGAAAGCAAGCCAACTGCAAATGTATATTATTTATTTATTTTACAATATTTAATGGCCCCTTCCCCCAAGCTCTGGGTAGGGTACTAGAGAGTCAAAATGAAAATTTAAGACACAGCACAATCTTAAAATAATGGCATCAGTAAACAGTAAAGAAACTTAATCACAGTTGCCCATAAATAAATCAGCTGACGAGCCAAATGGATGCTGGAACAAGCTTTTTTGGCTTGTTTGGGAAATGCTGGTAGTGTTGGGAACATCTGTCTCTCTTGGAGAAGAGTATTCCATAGAACTGGAACTGCTACAGAAAGTTTGTGCTCAATCCGCATCTCATGTGCCTCACAGAGGGGATTTGCAATAGACCCTCTGTAAATAACCAGACTGGACAGGCAGATTTAAGTCTGGTAAATACAACCCAACGCCCTGACTTAAAGGACTTGAATAACCAGCCCTTTTGACTGTGTCTGGAAATCTAGTAGCCAATACAGCACTATAAAGATATGAGTTATTCTCACATGTCAGGAGTATCTAATCAGAAATATGACTGCATGTTTTGTGCCATCTGTAGCTTTTACTCATGATCCAAGTCTTACCCTCCAGGGGGAGCTTATTTCACAATATGAGGACCACCATAAAAAAAAAACATCTCTTGGTTGGGAACCTACAGCATCCTAACCAAAATGAGAAAATTGGACATATTAATTCTAACAGAAGGTGAACTACTTCCATATTTTAAAAGGGTAACATGGAAAGTCTATCTAGAGCTCTCTTTTCTGAAGCAGAATGTAAATTCAGTGAATGAAAAGATATGTGGATATCAGCTCTGGGGTTTCTCATGGGAAGACCAGTTAGAGTTACAAAAGTAAGCTTTAATAAGTAGAGCTTAATAAGTAGAGTTTTTCTATGAACTATTGTTCTTAAATTAAAACAATGTAGACAATCTTTTATTGTTCTGTGAGATTACTCACCTAAATTATCTCCACCAGGAAGCAAATATCTTTTTAGAGCAGGCAGGTATATTTTTAATGTATGATATGATACAGCATACTAAATATAATGATACATTTTTATAACTAATTTAAAATTTCTAACAAATGGATTGGCATAACGATTCAATACTGTAATCTGAAAAATTATTTCTTGTATGTGAGTGTGTTATATACTATATATGGGCATCTATTAGCTTACTGTATGGCTATAATTATTACTTGTAATTGTTTGCTGATCCAATATTTTAATTGAGCAAAATATATTGGATGTATTAGCCCTATATAGAGGCAAAACTTCTTCAAGTGGAATATATATTTAGAATCTGAGGGGAGGGTGATATTAAGCCAGCAGAAATTACAGTAGAGAAATTACAGAACTGCTCTGCTTTGTTAAACATATCAAAACAAACATTAACAAAATATACATTCTGTATAGCCTGCTAATAAAACTTATCTTCTAAATGAACCTTGCTTGTTTACCTAAATTACCTAAAATGCTTCTTGCATTTTTGTTGCCATGAATACTGTTTTATAAATTAAGGCTCACAATCTTGACTTCTCATAAATTAACTGAAGTATCTTCTGGGGTCAATTATTAATTTGAATCATCTCTCTGATAAAATAGCTTCTGTTCAAAATAGATTTCTTAACCCCTAAATAAAATTTTGTTCTTTTCTTAACATTTTCTTTCTATGCATACTGTTGAATTTTATTACCTATTTATAAATCCTTTCAGTTACGTCATAATTTTGTATATTTGCAGTTGGCCCTTTTATTATCTTTGCTGAATTTATCAGTAAAAATGGAACAGCATATTTTATAATTCTTTCTGTTTAAACACTGCAATTGTTAATACTTCAGAGCTAGAAATAAAAAGACTTACTAACAAAATAGAGTATGTTTTTGATCAATATCCCCTAGTTTTGACACATACAATACTTACAGTTTAAATAGTGAGTGGGTGAAGGCAAATAACAATTTAATATGGAATTTAAATGCTGAGGTAATTTGATATCCTATTTAACTTAAATGTATTAAAACTCTAAAATACTATTTCATTTCCCTTTGTGGTTAATAAATATATATAAATGTATATAAATGATATATTAATGCATGGCCTTTATGATGACTTTATTATCTTTCTGTAATTAGTCTTACATGTTATAGTAAAGTTTATGATTGTGTGAAATTTTGAAAGAAGCAAATGTACAAATGAGAAGGACATCTGCGGACTGATTTTTAAGAAAGAGAGAGAGAAAAGCAAAACCTGAACCTTGTCATAAAACAATCTCTTTTTACTACTTAAAAAGTCTAATACATTTTGATAGAATGTTTTTCAGAGGCAGAGAAGTGAGGTTTTCTTTCCAAAGTATGTCTTATTCTGTTGCCTCTGAAAAAGATTCTCTGCTGAAATTTATTTGGCTTCTTAGACTAAGGCAGGGGTTGCCTACCTAAGGATTATCAGCATTTCAATAAATACCATTTTCAGGTTTTGCTTTTTTCTCCCTATTGGGATTTGTTGTTTTTTGTTTCTTTCTAAATTGCTTTCTTTGCAGTTATATAGCCAAGCCGCATAATCTTTTCTTAATATATTTCAAATACATAGAATCTGAGACTGTATTGCAAGCTGCTAATTAAACATATTGAGATTGCAACTTTATGTGTACATACAGTATTTAGCATTAAATCAGACTAAGCAATTGAGATTTATTTTTGACAAGACATGCATACATTTGCATCATGCTGTTTGCACAGGACAAGGAGATAAAACCGTATACAGTAATTAACCAAATCACAACCTACATAGGCATGCAGAAATATCAACAATAACAAAATGAACTAGTGTAGCAAGAGTAAAAAATAATAACAATAAAGAACCAGTGTCAGGATGCTAATAAAATCCCAGAAAGCTATACATCACCCACATATTGGAGTTAAAGTTATACTTTTAGCATACTTACATTCAGTTGTAAGAAATATTTTTAAAGCACTATTATATTTACCAAACAATTGCACATCATGTCGATTGATATATCTATAGGACATACTTGATTTTTAAATTTTATCCTGTGGTTATATGGATTGAATGCTAATATATGGTCACATAATTCCAAATTAAATGAGTTAAAATGATTACCTATTGCTGATATATAATGGACTATAAATTATTTTCTGCATCATATGCATAGCTCAGAACTTTTTTTTTTAAAGGTATAAAGTAGTCTTGTAAAAGGTTGAAGAATATAATCTCTGGTTGCATGTTACGTAGCTTTATGTTTTATGATATGATTAAGGAATATGCAAAACTAATCAATTTCAATAACAGAATGCCCCATTCCCTAATAGGTCAGTTTTATGCATCCCTAATATGTACAAGAAATCCAAAATGGCCTCTAAAAACAGACTCCTGCATTAAGACTAGAAATAATAATTTAAAAAAATCCCAGAACAAACAACCCCCTCATTAATCATGGCAATTATGATGCTAAAGATTATATTTATTTCCAGCTTTCTTGGTGCCAGGTTTTTAGATATGTGCTTATCTAGAAGAGAGCTAAGGAAGCTATATTATTTCTATTAGCACACAGTTGAGTGCCATATCTTCCAAAGGATCAGGCCCTGTTTCTCCTGGTCTCTTTCCTTTGACACTCTTGTAAGTCAGTAAATGTTTTTTTTCCTTTTTAGCCAATTAGTTCACCCTCCCTGTCTTAATTTAATATTGGAAAGGTAGGGTTTAAAGCAGAGGTGGGGAACTATGGCCCCTTTTATGACTTGTGGACTTCAGCTGCCAGAATTCCTGAGCCAGCATGGAGTTGAAGTCCACAAGTCATAAAAGGGCCATCATTACCCACCCCTATTTTATTTTAATCAATATACTTCATATATTAAATCAGTTTATAAATAAATATTTTTAAAAGATTTCTGTATAAAGGATGCTCACAATGTCTTATATCTTGCATGTTTCAGATAGCCGTGGCGCAGAAACTTGTAGTGTGTGGACTATCCTTATTATTTCATATGACTGTTAGCAAAACTTTCCCTGTAGAATACAACATTGATGACCAATTCAGAGCAACTGCATCATTTCCTACAAAGATTATCTACCTATATCTGTCACTAATGGCTGCCAGGCCGAAGTATTATTTTGCATGGACTTTGGGTAAGAAGTTTGGGGGGAAGGGAGGGGAGAGCGTTCCTTTTACAAGTTTATAACAGAATGCTGAAAGAATTAGTTTAATAGTTTGCCCCCTTGTGGGGCAAGGAAGAACTATGTTCAAAGGAATTCTTACACTGTAGAAGCATTAGTTTTTTTAAAGGAGAATAAATAAAGTGTTTTATCCGGTGTTTTGAGCTCAGATTTAAACATAAAAGTATGATTTGTGATAGTATGGTAGCTAAGCAGAATATCTTAGGGAAAGATTGCTCCTGATATTATTCATTCTTTATGTTGATTGCTTGGATACCTTTGATGGAAATGATGATTTCCATTTTAATCTAGGTGTAACCCAATAATTAATTGTTAATGAAATATTAAAAGTTGTATTTGTTTTGTTTAAATTTACTCCAAAAATGTTTAACTTAAATTGTTTTGATAATCTTAATTTATAGGCATTTAAATAGACTGCAGGAAATTCTTTATTCTTTTAAACCACTTTGTGGAATGGCAAATGAGTCAAAGGCTATAATAGGTCATACTTAAGTTCAACACTGGTAAATCTTGCTGCTTTCCTCAGCTATTTGTGTCTTAATCTGATCCCCCCTTACTATCTTTAAATCAATGCTGTGCTCATAATTTTGGAAAATGGCAATAGATTTTCGGTATAATTCTTGAAATAAAAGAGCTGCTGGATTATATACATACATACATACATACATACATACATACATACATACATACATAATCCAGAGAGAGAGAGAGAGAGAGAGAGAGAGAGAGAGAGAGAGAGAGGATTAACTTTTAATATTTTTAATTATTTAACAATTTAAATTTCAAATCAATTTTAACAAATATATTTAATTAATTATATATATTTGCAGTAGGGCTATTAGGACTCAGAAGCATCATAGCAGGCATTGTAAATAACTACTATAGTTGAATGAGACCTGTTGTATTTGTACTTAGGATAGCAAAACATAGAAAGAAACAAAAAACTATGCTACCCTATTATTGGATAAACATTGGTGATTATTTAAAGGGCATTTTCTCTTTTTAAAAATCCAGTGGTCATATGAATCATATGATTTAACACTTTCAATTATCATAACTTCTAGGAAAAGAATTCTTTTAATAGTTTTACAATTTATTTTTAATATGAAATGTTGCCAACATCCACATTGTACTGAGAAGCCTATAAAACAGAGGTTCCCAACCCCCGGTCTGTGAACTGACACTGGGCCGTGCAAATAAGTAGTGGGGGATGCAGTCAACATTTGAAACCACGCCCCCTCTGGTTCACGGAAAAACCTCTTTCCACGGAACCAGTTCCCGGTGCTCAAAATGTTTGGGGGGGGCGCTGATATAAAATATGTAAGTGTGGATTCTAATCTGGCTTTAGATTTAGGAAAATAAACAATTATATTATTTTTAAAACATTAAATTTGAAATGTACTTTTTAATAATTTGTGTTATATATTGTAGAAATAGTGAGAAATTGAGTTTTGCTGGTATTTGGTGTTTAGTGATAGCTTCGACAGTAGTTGCAAGATATACTTTTTTAAAGTTCTGTGTGAAAAGAAATGCTACCATATGTAATATTTTTATAGCTTTCTACAATTCCTGACTTTTTTTTGCAGCAGAGGCAATTAATAATGCAGCTGGATTTGGCTTTAGAGGCTATGATAAAAATGGAGTCCCACACTGGGATTTGATTTCAAATCTACGTATTCTACATATAGAGGTTAGTTCATCACTTTCCAAATGGGGATATTATTTACATACTATGTATAGTATTGCTTTGTTGTAATGTGTTACAGTAATAAAATGAACTTAATATGAGCAAGAAAATTCTCCCTTTACTGTATGTGCACACTTGCTATTATTGTAGGAGATAAGAAACCCCTTCCTTTTCAAGCTGCTTCTAATCTGTTGGAGACAGATGTTACGATTAATGTATAGACTTCTCAGGAGTTAGTAATAGTCAAGATCATGTCCTACCACAAGTCACCTTCTCTAGCCTTTATTCATTGTTTTCTCAACTATATATTTCACCTTCCTACACTAGATAAGATTTCAGACTTAATATATTACCTATAATTACAAACTATATTACATAGAGCAGGGGTGTCAAACTGCCGACCCGCGGGCTGGATGCATCATAGCGAAACCGCGCCCATCCCATTGCCAGCAATGGCAAAAAAGTTGTGACACGTCATGTGACGTTGCGAGTTTGACACCCCTGATATAGAGTATACAACATACTGTGTGAATGAATGTGATCTCTTATTAGGAAGAATGCAATATATGTTTGGTTCATAGCCTGATAAAGATATTAAATGTAGCTATGTAGATAGTGATAAACGTCTCTGTTATTACTGCATTCTCCCTGGAATGCTGGAGAATTGTTAGAAAGAAAGAACTAAAAAAATTATCTGCCATAATAAATTGGGATAACTTGATTTAAAATGGGAAATTGTCCAGTTGCTGAAATTCTTGTTACCAAGTTCCTTTCATATTAGTGCAGGAGTGTCAAACTGGCAGCCCATGGGCCGGATGCATCACGCACAGGCCACGCCCACCCTGGCTCAGCAAAGGCAAAAAACGTCACGATACGTCATGTGACGTGATGTAGTTTGACACCTGTGTATTAGTAAATCTTGCTAAAGAATACTCTGTGAGAATATTGTTTTCAAAAACTGATTTAAGGCAGCTGCCAAAGACCCTGAAATATTTATGTATTTATTAAATTATGTTGCCCATCTCATTGGGATATAGAGTTTATATTTGCTTTTCTGAAATAATACAATGTTGCATTCATATTACAGTTTTCAACAAGTTTCAAGATGTTTCTTGATAACTGGAATATTCAGACAGCACTTTGGCTCAAAAGGTACATTGGTTGGTTGGTTGATGTACATCCCATTGTAATCAAAAGTACTCTCAGAAACTGATATAGAATATTAACTATTATTCTGTTGCTGATAATTCAGTATTACCAAGCTATCCCAAAAGATTTGGGGATAATAGTGTTAATAATAAAGGTTTACCCTGAATCTATTCTGTTGCTTATCCATTGTCCTTTTCCTTTGCTTCAGGAAGACTAAGGCTGGTATATGGCTATAAATCAGAGCTGGACTCTCTAGAAATCCCTCAGAATCTAGTTCCCTTTGGGTCCCAGTTCCCTAATGACAAAGTTGCTAGAATTGGTGTAACAGTGTGCCATTTTCAAGAAGCACATTTTGCCAGATTCCTTGGTTTTGGAAGTTCTGCATTGGAATAATGGTCTTAGACCCTAAATGCATAGTAGAAATGTTTTATTTCTGTTCCAGCATTCTGCAATTTTTGTCCCCAAGAATTTATTAATTGTCAAGGAACCTTCCTAACAATCTAGGGTAGATATATGGGCTTGACTGGGCAATTCCCCTTCCAGCAGTCTCAGCATCTCATTCTATCTTGCTCGTCAGGACCGCCTGACTTTCTCGGGTGGTGGTTTGGCAGTGCACAAGAGACAAATGGGGAGAAATTCTGAATTTTGCTTACCTATCATCTAGGACAGGCATGTCAAACTCGTGACATCACGCGACGTTGCGTGACGTATCACAACTTTTTCCCCATTGCTGGCAATGGGGTGGGCGCAGTTTCAGTATGATGCATCCGGCCTGCAGGCCGGCAGTTTGACATGCCTGATCTAGGACAATATTTAATCATGGTGATATAGTTTACTACTGATTGTTATTCTCTTAGTATTATATCTATATGCTACTAAAACTCTTGTCATGAGCTTTAACTGGGCAAAACAGTCCATTATAGGACACCAGTTTCTGAACCAAGGCACTTTGGATAGGCCATCTTACAGAATGTGTCTAAAATAGGAGGAGAAAAGTGTGTTGGATATGTTTGCTGCCCTGGGTTTTTGTAAAAATAAATAAAGACGGGATGCAAATTAAATATATATATAGTATATAAATAAAAAATCCAGGACCAATGACTCCTGAGAGAATGAAATTTGGGGAAGTTACTGCTATTTTGATGTTGCTCTGCACTTCTTGAGCATTCCCCTGCACTGTTTCCACTCCGTACGCCCCCCCCTGCATGTTTTCCCAGATCTCTGCAGCACCTATTAAGCATTCCAAACACCCTCCCTAATCGGCACCACACAGCAGTCTCATCTCTGGCATACATCTGCACATGCTTCTCAAACCACACAGCACTCTTGTGCACCCCACATACCATTCCTGACCCACACCACTGCACACTCCTGCACTCACTGCCCCACCTAGAAGCAGCCATTTGCCAGTATTTTGGCCTTGGACTTGCAAGTTTCTGATCGCCTCCACACTTTGGAGGAAGGGGAAGGAAGGAAGGAAGGAAGGAAGGAAGGAAGGAAGGAAGGAAGGAAGGAAGGAAGGAAGGAAGGAAGGAAGGAAAATTTCTGATGTTCCTTGTCAGCTTCTCACAAGGAAATTCAGTGGGGAAGCTGACAGGAAGTCAGTAGGCGTTTCCACTCCCACTGCTTTTTTGCCCACCCATGGTCATTCCGTTTCTCTATTTAGGTGAGCAAATATTTCTGAAAAGATGACACATTGGGGCATGGATTGTCTAGTTAACTTTAAATTTCCAATAATTTTTATTTTATGGAAAAATCACTTCTTAAAGACCATGTTATACCTTGAACGATAACTCAGTCTGTTTCTTAATAATTTGTAAATTTGGCAGGATTGATTGTCTTGAATGCAGCTTGGAACTTTCAAAGATTTCTTTAAAATACATTATTTTTTGCAGGCCTCAGTGTGGCAAAAATGCAGTTCTTTCTACATGATGCTTTATTATTATATTTTTTACTTTCAGAGTATGCTATGAGCGAGCCTCTTTCAGTCCAACAATACAAACCTTTATCTTATCAGCCATTTGGCATGGGGTATATCCTGGATATTATTTAACTTTCTTAACAGGGGTACTAATGACACTTGCAGCACGAATGGTACGTATCCCTTATTTACCAGTTAAAAAGTAGTTGTGCTCTTTTTTTGAATTAGTTGTATGAATTCAAACCTTACTTAGTGTTTACTTTTAAAATTTTAGATTAGTTGTTTATAAAAACAATAAAAAGCCCTGCTTTATAATAAAAAAGACTTTTGAAAATCATTAAATTGCTTTATGGCATTACAGGTAATCCTCAATTTACGACCACAACTGAGCCCCAAATTTCTGCTGTTAAGTGAGACATTTGTTAAATGAGTTTTGCCCCATTTTACGCCTTTCTTGCCCCAGTTGTTAAGTGAATAACTGCAGCTGATAAGTTAGTGACCTGGCTATTAAGTGAATCTGGCTTCCCCATTGATTTTGCTTGTCAAAAGGTTGCAAAAGGTCATCATGTGACCTTGGGACACAGCAACGGTGATAAGTATGAGTCAGTTGCCAAGCATCCAAATTTTTTGATCACATGATCATGAGGATACTACAAAGGTCGTAAGTGTGAAAAACAGTCATAAGTCACTTTTTTCAGTGCCATTGTAACTTTGAATGGTCCCTAAACGAACTGTTGTAAGTTGAGGACTACCTATATTTGATTATTTAAATATTCAATTTATATGGCTGTCACAGATGTAACTCTAGGCAGTTAACATCAAGTTAAGTAAAGATATCAAATGAACTAACAACACTTTGTGCCTAAAGCTTTTCATGGATCTATCTGATTAATTCCTTAATAATGACTTCATGCCTCAGGGCAGAAAAAGATCTTCAATATCTTACACATAGACCAGTAAGATTGGGACTAACTGGATCTTGAAGGCTATGCTGTTCCACAGGACAGGCATAATGACAGAGACTGTTTGCAAATATGATGGTAACAATAAACAAACAATTTCCCAACCAAATTTTTTACACTTTTGACAAGTTTCTACTTTTCACGTGTGTTTATTGGTCTGTCCGTTTTATTTTGTTTCTGCATTATTTTACAAAAAAAACCCCATATACAAATGCTAACACATATTTTAAGCATACTTTTTTAAGAAATTAAACCCCATATTTCAAGCCCCATATTTAAAAAGCATTGTGGTAATTTTTTTGAGTTGAAAATGCAGCACAGATTTCAGAGAAGTATTCAATCTCAAGATTAATTATGATTTAATCCACATATTGTACAGGAAGGATTTACCAGGTCAGTTTGTATTGAAATTTACAAACATTGTGTCTCTCAAGTAATTTGACTGAGGTAATGTTCGTCTTTTTATTTAGCTGCCTTTAGATGTAGCTTTTTGTAAGATCTATCTAGATATTACCTGTTCTATAAAAAAAGTTTGCTTACTAATTAAATGTATCTCTCTTTAAATTTAGATTAGAAAGAACATTAGAAATTATTTTCTTGATTCTCCAGCCATTAAGTTATGTTATGATATCATGACATGGATCACAACTCAAATAGCAATAAGTTACACAGTTGTGCCATTTGTACTCCTCTCTATAAAACCCTCCTACGTATTTTACAGGTAAGCTGATCCTTTGTCCTTTTTTAAAAATGCCACTTTAAATGGAAGGGAAGCTATTTGCATGTGTTGACAGTTGAGAAAGCAATACTGTAATCCATTTTTCAATTTCAATGGCTAGAATTTTATGTGATGTTTGGTGCCTGATTGAGATTTAGGAAATTAACATAAAATCACAGATTTCCTTTAAATAAAATGAACATACAAACAAATAAAATGCTTTGTTCATGGTACTGGAACACTGTGGAAAAACTGAAAAAACACTAGAGGAATAAATACTTTCAAAAACTCTATAAGGGATTTCCAATGAACAAGTTCAGTCCTCTGAACCACATATTTTCCCTCTGTTCCATTTGTATATTGTAATCACATGATGGTGTTCCTGGCATTAGAAAATGGCTAGGCTTTCTCAGTTTGGAATAATTGACAGGGGAGAAGGATAATAAGCTATATATTATCTTCAGGACTTAAACTACAATCTGAGATAGTCAAGTAATTTCTACACACACACACACAGGTTGCCTTGTACTGCTGGTTTTCTGATAAGTAGATAAATATAGAAGTGTTGAAACATTATGTAATGATCAAAGCTCTTGCTTTCTGTCTCTTTGCATTAGTTCCTGGTATTTCTCCCTCCATATTGCCTGCATTTTAGTGCTGATGTTTCCAAGGAAAAGAACTCAAAAACGAAATAAAGAGCAAGAAAGCATCCAGCCTTCATGGTTCAAACAGCAAGAAGAAGGAAAAGAAAAAAGAATTACGGGACATAATAGTTATTCTGTGACAAATAGCTTCGATCAAAGAAGAGAAATCACATCCAGAAATACAGCAACAAAACAATGATTACAGATGCTATAGATGCTATATTTTATATTTTCAAGACTATTTATAGCACCTTTTAAAAGGGGGGTTATATTTGTCTGAAAGGATGGTTAGTAAGAAAAGAATGCTATATCTCTAGGGAATATACTAGTAAGATGAAAGCAAAGCTAATTAACCACTCCCGTGCCATGTTCCTGTGGATCACGCCTTATATGGAAATATTACAATTATTTCAGTGGGCACTCAAGACCAACAACGTACGTCATCGGCGTGCCGCTATGCTGAATGTACATTGTAAATCCCTAGGAACTTATGGGGGGTGGGAAATGGTTGTGTCAATCTGGAATACCAGAAGGAAAAAATCTTGCATTGCCTTAAACCCTCTATCTACTGAAAAGTAATGTTTCTAAATAGTATTTTCATGTTTAGTATATTATATTTAAAGTATCACTCAAAAATAAGCTTTGGATTCTGAGGGACAAAACGAGAAATGGAAGCAGAAAACCCCACTGCCTGAAGTCAAAAGAAGGAACTGCAATAAGCACCTCACTGTCTGGAGGGTTTTCTTAGTATATCAGGTTCGTACAATAGAGAATGAGAAGCATTGCTAATGTTAAATCATAGTTGGTTTCCCTGATTAAAAACGGTGGTTAAAGGAAAGCCCTCCGAAAACTTTTTTTTAAATATTAAAAGTCATCCTTTCTAGAGCCAAATGTTTTAATGTAATTTTGCTCTTTAGGATGAGTAAGTTTTGCAGCAACCTTCACAAAATGTACACGGAATTCCTATTAAAGCTGCAGCTTTCCAATAAAAATTCTCCTAATCCTATAGAAATCATTTCACAGGGCGTCACTAGTAAAGGTGGATCAGTTATAGAATTAGTGTGAAAAGGTGCTTAAGATGGCCTCTTTATCTTATGGTTATAATTCAGTTTATATTAAACAAAGAGTGACATTGTTAAATTGGTACTGTCTAGTTGAACACTGTAAACCCTGTAACACCAGAATATCTGTGGTTTAGAAAAAAAATTAAAGCAGGATGTAATATATGGGGATCATAATGTAACATTTGATAAAACTTTCCCAACCAATTCTTTGTTTCATAATTTTACCTTGAAAATATATCAAGGGAATTGATAAATTATTAGTTACTTTCTGATGAAGATTTACAATTGGTAAAGAAATTATATGCTAAAGGGCTATAACGTTCATTTGCTTGCTTGTGTATCTGTTAGATTTTTTTTTACTGAATGGAAAAGATGTTATCCTTAAAATACACAGAAAATGACCCACAGTAAGAAATGAAAAATGGCATTTGGTTATTATTAAAAGAAGCTGATTTTTCATTCCTATTTTGTTTTAAAACCTAAATGTTATATACCACATGTCCAAATATTTAATGAACCCAGAAAGAGAGAAATAGCTCCTGGCTATTGTCAGGAACCTAGGAAAGAAATGATACATTTCAGTAGGAAATGTCAAGTTATTGTAAATTTGACCTTCCAATCTGTCTTTCAATGAAAAATAAGAGTAGGCTGTGTTTCTTGTTTGGGGTGTTCATTCTGTTCTGAAATCTTCCTTCTAGAGAGAACTACAGACAGATGTGTTTTGCGGGAGGAAACAAATGATGTGAGTTAATAATTTCCCTAGCAAATGGAGTATTCATTTGGAGAGCAGGTAATTGAATATTAAAAAGGGCTTTCATGTTGGTGGAAATAAACATTAACATTAGGAGAAATAGGCTTATTGTATCTCCTGATGTAATCACAAACATTCTTTTAGTTTATTGCAGAACGTGGATGAAGCAACATGCAAGTAGGCTTATTATGGTTTTATTTGTGCCAAATTAATTCTCTCCTCCCCCCCCCCTCAAATTCAGATATATAATGGAAGCTCCAGCTTCATTATACAGCTCCATAAGAAGTCTTCTTTATGCAGAAATCTGTACTGTATGACATCAGGAAGAAACTATGTTGGGTACATGAAATGAAGCTTGTTAATACAGCCTGCAGTGATACCTTGCTATAACCGTTTTCTATAATGGCTGAACATGTCTGCCCTGTTGTTCAGTTAACATTCTCTCTCTCTCCCTCCCTCCCTCCCTCCCTCCCTCCCTCCCTCCCTCCCTCCTTTCTTCTCTCTCGCACATATATTCAGTTTCAGAATTTAAAAGGAAACTCACTTCCAGTGTATGAAAAAGGAGCTACTTATTTTACTTATAGAAATCAGTGGAAACTACTGAAAACTGGAAAAACCTGCCCTGTCCACTTTTCACCTGTTCCTATATGTCTAGCCAAGTTTAATCTTTTGGGAATGAATAACAAGTTCCATAGGGACTTTAGAAATCTAATGCTTGCAAGTTTCTTGAAAGGTACTGGTTATTTCCCCAAAAGATATTTATTTTTCATTATTTATTACTTGAGAACTTAAGTACAGGTAGTCCTTGACTTACAACAGCTTATTCAGTGACTAATCAAAGTTACAGTGGCACTGAAAAAAGTGACTCATGACCATTTCTCACACTTATGACCATTGTAGGATCCCCGTCATCATGTGATCAAAATTTGGATGCTTGGCACTGGTTCATATTTATGAGGGTTGCAGTGATCCTGTGATCACTTTTTGCAACTTTCTGACAGTCTGGGGAAGCCAGATTCATTTAACAACTGGGTTACTAAGTTAACAACTTGCAGTGTTAACAAAGTGCAGTGATTCACTTAACAACCGTGGCAAGAAAAGTCATAAAATGGAGCAAAACTCACTTAACAAATGTCTCACTTAGCAACATAAATTTTGGGCTCAATTGTGGTTATAAGTCAAGGACTCCCTGTATATGAGTTTTTATCCTTGCCCACAAAGGAAATTCCTTTTTTTCCAGACTCCCATTTTGAAAACTATAATTAGAGCTATGCAAAGCACTAGCATTACATAACATATTAGTAATGGTGGAATACCTTTTGCTGGTGCACCAGAGGAGCTGTGTCCTTTGCAAAGTTCATGCAGCTGCTTTGAAAGCTGTCCCCAGTTGTTTCCATAGAGAGGGAGAGAGAGAGACACTCACACAACCACTGGGACCCGCAAGGAAGGTATGTGGCTGCTCTAGTACTGTATAGCACTTCCAACAGAGGTGCTTCATTTGCACAAACATGCTTTGAAGTCAGTACTGTAGTTTAAATGCTCAATCTTAACTATAGCATAAAGTGTTTTACATAAACTGGGGGCCAACCTATGAAAACCCTCTCTTGGTTCCTTGAGCTTCTACCAGCAAATTCTGCAGCATAATGGCTGATATTCAGCAGTGCGGTTTTTGAAAATATAGAGCAGAAACAAAAGGACTCTGGGATGCAAATCTCTTCAAACCCCCAAACCCAAAATCACATTACAAAAATGTGCCCATTTTGCAATTAAACATTAACAACATGACTTTGTTAAAGGATATTAGATGGAAATAATAACATTTTTGATTTGAAAAGGTCTTCCAGTTAGAAGACTCCAATGCAGAAAAATATCTAACCCATGACTTTAGAAAAAGATGACTATGGATACTGGTTCACCCAGTGTTGTTCTACACACACACACACATTAAAACAGCCTGCTGTGTGAAAGGAAAAATGAAAAGAGAAACCTTTTATTTTAGCCAAAGTTCAATTATGAAATATATTTGCATCCTCCCATAGTAATTCCTATGTGTTCCTGAAAACCTCCACTAGGAAACCAATCTCAAAGGCCTGGGAAGTAGCATAGCAAGCAAGAAACCCCGCGGTGTGCAAATTTTCATAAACCTGGATATTTGTAATAATTGTATTAATTATTTTTCTATAGTATGTGATTTCCATTCTGGGCCAACTTGAAAATACTGGAAGCTTGTATTGCCCTTTGTCTTTAACAGGTTTCAATCTTATTGTCACACCTTTTTCTTTTTTTAAATATTTTTTTTTAGCAGTGATTCAAGTTGAGTCCCTGGGATAATTGTCTAGGTCACTGTAGCAATTTGATAGGCAGCTCCATTCATGTTGGCTTTTCTGTTTCCATTGCACATACTTGTAAAATCTGTCCCTCTTATCGCAGAAGTCTCAAACATTGTTTAAAACAGTGCATATCATAATGGCACCCGACCTCTTCAGAAGGTTTTATTAAGAGAACCATTTCACTAGATTTGTTTTTCTTTTCAGTTTGTCCTACTATATATAATTTCATGTCCTTTTGTTTTTCATTGGTTATTGATTCTGCTATCTGATTATTTCTGCTATCTATGATCTTAACAATGGCAAAGAGATGTCTAACGGTATATAAAAATACTATTGAAACTATATGTTTGCTAGCTCTGCAAGAATATTCTACAGGTAGTGAATGGAAACCAGCAACACCATAGACACAACACAGTTACTAATGTTAATATAAATGTTAATCAGTGCAAAAATATGAATGTGGAATTCAGTTCACATTTGGATACACATTAAAGGGACTTTTCTCAGTTGAATGTGGAAACAGTTAACGTACTTTTCCCTTCCAGTATCTGCTTTTTAAGAGGGAAATATGCTTCAGAAGTGGATAGTTGCAGTATTTCCTCAAATTGCCTTCCCAAATCAAAATATAAAGACCTTATCCATGGATTTCATTTTTATTATTCCAATCTCTCTATATTTTTTAAAAAAATGTTATTTTTCAACAGATCCATACAATTAGGTCTTGGTGTATGGTAATTTAAGATACCACTGTATTAGTTTACACTGTGATGTGATATTTTAATAATTACTTATTTCTAGTTTTGTCTTGGAGATGCTACAATTATGTAGCATATTGCTATGTTTTAAGGGTGTTTTTAACTTACCTATAAATGTTTTTCTAATTTGCGAATTTAAAATCTGATTAAACAATAGCAAAAAAGGTCTTGATTGTTTTCTCTATATCATAATTGTTAATTATTACATTAATCTAAATATAATGCCTTACAAATAAGCTGTAATGTCCCAGTGATAAGTCACTGAAAAATAGCAAGAAATCTCCTAATTTCTATATTGCAGAATTACAAGTAATCCTTTGGCTTACAATAGTCCATTTAGTGACCATTCAAAGTTACAACAGCACTGAAAAAAGTGACTTATGATTGTTTCTCACAGTTAGACCTTTGCAGCATCCCCATGATCATGTGATTAAAATTCAGATGCTTGGCAACTGGTTCATATTTATGACTGTTGCTGTGTTCCAAGGTCAT